AATTTGGCTTGTGTTACACTTAAGGCAGAAAAGAAGTTGCTAGCAAAGGAAATATATCCACGTAATGTTGAGTTTTATGGCTGCTGTGAAAAAGAGTTTTGAACCCTAAAAGTTGTGTGCATTGAAATATCTTTCTTTGTGCTGCACTACAGTCTAATTTGGTGGAGCAGCACAGGTGTACTGTGTAAAACCATGTACCACACTGTTGATACTGGTTATTTCCTCATTTGATAAGATAATTGGACTTGTCATCCCTATAAGGGCTATTGAAGTATATTTTCATCAACTGCATCTGATTATAAATAATTTGCTTCTGATAATCTTGTGCTGGGAGCAGTGTAAGCGGCAGGAATCTAGCTGGTTTCCTCTGGGGAGGGCATTTTCTTGCCCTTTCGCTGGTAGCATGACTTGTCGTGTCTTTTCCAGGAGCTGGCTACTCCAGAGGCTTTTGCACGAAACCCTTCTCGTGTGTGGGAGTTTTACCACTACCGCCGGGAGGTGATGTTGAGTAAACACCCGAACCCTGCACATATTGCCATTGCAGAGTGCGAAAAGCGACTGAGCAAGCAAGGACGGAGCGTTGTGGTCATTACTCAGAATATTGATGAACTACACAGAAAGGCAGGCACAAAGCACCTCTTAGAAATCCACGGTAAGAATCAGCTTACCTGTCTGCTTATGGGCCAGCAAACCCGGGGGAAGAAGAGAGAGCCGGATAAGTACTGGGAGAAAAGAAACTTGCCATTAAAATGGTAATAACTTGCACAAAGTTATTTACTGTAACACCATGTTCTCTTTTGGAAGTTGTTTTGGGTACTTCATATGCATTGGGCATAGTTTAATTTTGATTGAGTCATAGTTTTAAAGGGACTGTTGTTGCTCTTCTCTGTTTCCTTTCAGCTGAAGGGACTGTGTTGTGTCTCTTTGCTGGGTCTGGCCTGTGCTTAACAGTGGCACTGGTCACCTTGGGTTGCTGAACAAAAGCGTGTGTTTGCACTGTGTAAATCATCTCCTTCATAATGCTGACAGGTTTCAACACTTGGCTGTTGTTACCCAAGTTACGAGGTGTAGTCTTCAAAGTCAAATAAAGGCCATACAGGATAAACACAACCACTTGCTCACACAGCCATGACCCAGACGAGTTGTTCGATCCCTGATGTTTTCTCTTGGTGTGTTTCAGGTAGTTTATTTAAAACTCGATGCACCAACTGTGGAAACGTAGCTGCAGATTACAAGAGTCCAATATGCCCCGCGTTGGCTGGGAAAGGGTAATTAATACATCTGCTTGTAAAATGCATTTTCTACTTTGTCTGCTGTTCAGTAGGAAAGGAGCCAGTTTAGGAGCATACAGGAGTTTGGCTGCCCATCCTGTTTTACATCAGTAGTATTAAGACTTAAATTTTACACAGCTGTTTGGAACCATGAGTGTGCTGTTCAGTAACTTCAGTGAGAGCCCATGATGTTGTAAGTCCCGTGAAAGAATAACTGTTAGCACAATGCTAAGTATGTTTTAATTAGAAGAATTTCAGATGGTCTGAAACTCTTATTTTGGACATCAGCTAATTGTACTCTTTGAGAATGTGTATTTTCTGCCATCCTCTTCACCTCCCCAGGTTTTTTATTAAATCAGGTGCTTATTCCTGAAATTGAACTGCCATCACTCGATACACGTATTGTCCTCTTCTTTGTCTAGCACCTAGCAGCTTTTGTCCTTCGGCTCCTCAGTAAGATTCTCATTATCACAGGCCTCAAAATAGAGATGTAATAAACAACTGGGAGGGAGGTGTCAGTTCCCAGGATTTCTGTAACTTGAAAAGTTGCAGAAAAATCTTTCAGTCACCTTTTTCTAGCCATCCCCTTGCTTTCACCTCTAAAAAAAAAGAGGAGAGGCATATGGTCATAGATTTTTAGGTATTTTCCCTTCGTATTTCACCAGACCTTTAGGTAGTTACTTAAATGTTTGTTGTGCCTCTGTCAGAGTTTGACCAGCTTAGGACAGTTGCTTACTTCTGGGATAATCCTGGATAAACACCTGCTTCCCCTGTGTGTGGTATGGAAGGGTTGTGGTAGGTGTTGAAGTTGGCTGAAGTTGCAAAGATTTCTTGATTGGAGAGTGTGCTTTAGAGAATACTGAGTTTTTATTAATGTACAAAATGCACTTTGTATGGCTGAATATGTATTGCGATTTTGTAACTTCAGGGCCCCAGATCCTGACACAGAGGATGCTGCGATTCCAGTTGAAGAGCTTCCTCAGTACGTGAGGACTAATTTGTGTTTTGCTGTTACCTCTTTATGCTTTGTTGTGCATCTCAGAGGCTTACATTACTGCTCATGTAGTTTTGGAAGGACATGGAGACTTTCTCCAGGAGAAAAAGGTGTTACTTTTCCTCAGAGAATTGATCTAAAGTTAGGGGAGACAGCAGAGAACAGGAGTGTGCACTGGAAGTTTACTGTCATGTGAAAGGCATGGCATGTTTGTGTACTTGAGCATCAAGCTGAAACATGCCTGAATTCATGGGGCTTGTAGTAAGTGGAGTCATAGTAGAATTGAAGTAAGACACTAAGTGCTACACAGTAAACATTTTGCTACTTTGTGGGTGCTGCCTGCCATTAGTCAATCTGGAGCACTGTGCTGTGGCACAGCCACAGCATAGTCCTTTGCAGGCTTCAAATGTGCCATGGTGCTCTTTTATAACGGCTACAGATGCAAGAGACCACCATGTTTTTCATCTGGTTCCTAAGGAAAGGAAGCTAACACAATATGTCTGTCAGTTCACTTTCTCCTTAAAAACCCATTGGCCAGTTTGTTAAAGTCGATGGAGGCTGAGGTCAGTAGCACATACTATGTTTCAAGTTTCATGCATTCCAGGCACTGGGCAGGGGGCTGACACCACTAAGTATTTGAGTTGCACAACTGTTCAGCAACATGTTCCACCTGGCCAGGCAGCACGTGTGTATTTCCAGCCATACGTGTGGCACAGCATCAGCCGTCCTCTGCCCAGCTCACAGTAGAGGAGGGTGTGGGGAGGGCTGTGAAAGAGAGAAGTGGAGGATGGAAGGCAGGTGAGATATGCCCAAATGAGAATGAAAACAACCATGTGCAACCTTCTTCCTTTTTCAAACAGGTGCGAGGAGGACGGCTGCAATGGGCTCCTCCGTCCCCATGTTGTATGGTTTGGTGAAACCCTGGATCCCGACATTCTCACTGAGGTGGAAAAGGAGCTTGATATTTGTGACCTCTGCTTGGTAGTGAGTGACGCACTTGTTACCTGGCCTCTCAACCAACGGGGAAGCCACACTAAAGGGGTTGCACGACCTGGGTAAAGGGGTTGCATGCACATTTCCCTGAGGAAACTGAAAGCCCCTGAGGATTCTCTGGTGTCATGAAACTTTAAAAGGCCATGAAGTCTGAAAACGTACATACACTACTCGGAAATCAGCAGATTCAGCATGTGTGCATTGTGCTCAGCTGGCACCTGCCATCTGCATTCAGTACGCACACAGGGGTTAGAGGTTCAAGTGTTAGAGGTTCAGTAATACTGTTTGGCTGCTGAATTTCTTGAACAGTGAAAATTATGATTATTTTGAGGCTCGGCTAAGAAAAAAGTGACAAAATGTGGTAAGAAGGTAGCCAGCTGTTATCATAGGCTGCCTTCTTTTGTGAGGTGGTTTACATGCTCACTGGTTCCAGCTCACTGACCCAAACGCTTACTTAGAATATTGTGTACCCTTCACAGACTAACCCCAACTAACAAGGAACATCCTGTTTTGTTTTCCTGAATACAAGGTCTTTCCAGTTATAATCTGCAAACAGGTTTCTTTGGGTTACATCAGAGAAACCACTCCCAATTCTGCTACATGTGCAGTGACACTAAGTAGATACTGATTTGGCTTCATTTTGGTAGGGATCTTCATGCTTTAGTGGTTTTGCACATCCAGTGTTCTGAGAAGGGTCCTTGCCTCGTGGGTTGGTTTGGTTTTGCCTGTTTAACTGCTGGCCTGCTACACTCGTTGTTTTTCACCCTGTGCCTGCAGGTCGGAACCTCCTCTGTGGTGTATCCTGCTGCAATGTTTGCCCCACAGGTATCTGCTAGAGGAGTGCCAGTTGCAGAGTTTAACATGGAAGCTACTCCTGCTACAGACAGATTCAGGTAAAGCTGTCCAGTTTTAAACTAGCAAACGTTAGTCGCCTGCATCTTCACTCTTTTGCTCTGAACTGCTAAAATGCTCGGCAAAATTTTAAACAAACATGATCTAGGTTTTTTCCCCTATGTTTAAGAAATACTGTTTTCTTCTAATAAGTAAGAAGAGGCAGTTGCTCTTTCTTGGTAGAATTAACACTGAAGGAAGTTCTTGCACTTCTTAACGGAGCAGTTGTGACTGCCCCATCCCAGGCAGTACTCAAGGCTAGCTTGGACCTGGCTTTGAGCAACCTGCTCTAGTGGAAGGTGGCGGGGCAGGGGTTTGGAACTGGATGAGCTTTAAGGTCCCTTCCCACCCAAACCAATCTATGAAGAGACAACTGTATGTTTCTGAGTGTGAAGCAGAAGTTTGTCCCTGTGTCCTAGAAGTCCCCCTCCCTCAGCAGCGGGGCTAACTCGCTACCTGCCCGTCACACGCACCCGGGCTGCCAGAAGCAAGCACCGTGACGCCGGTCGTGCCTGCCCCTTCAACCGGCCGCTTCCTTACAGGTTCCACTTTTCGGGCCCCTGCGGGACCACTCTGCCGCCGGCGCTGGCTCGCCACGAGACGGAGATCATCTCTTGAGTGCCTCGGAGCGCCCGCCGGGGAAGCGCCAAGCCTGGCAGTCGCGGCGCGGGCCTGGCGCCCGGCGGGGGCTGGTACGGGTGGGAGGCGGCGGCGGCGGCGGCGGCGGGTGGCGCCGTCCTGCCCCTCCCCTGCTCCCCACCGCAATAAACGCAAGGCCGGGCCCGCCGCTGCCGGTCGTACCTCAGCGGGTCGTCTGTGTGTGCGCGTGCGCGGCTGGAGGGGGAGGGGCGGAGCCGCGTGCAGCAGGGAGCGCTTCCGGGGTGGGGGTCACGCGGGCGGTGTAGGGGCCATGGCGCGGCGGCCTAAGGGTGCCGCGGGCGGGAGCGGGGTTCTCCCCGCGGCCCTGGGGCCGTCCTCCTCGGAGGATGAGGCGGACGAGGCCCCGGAGGAGGTGTCCTTTGGCGTGGCGAAGGAGGCGGCCGAGGCCGAACGGAAGCTCGTGGGGGAGGCGGCCCGGAGGTACCGACGTTCCCGCGCGAGGCCTCATCTCTTCCCATTCCCAGGTATCGCCATCCCCCTCCGTTCCCCACCCTGAGCCCGTACTGACGGCGCCTCCCGCCTCCCCGCAGGCACCGGGAGCTGCTGAAGGAGAAGCGGCGGCGGCGCCAGGAGTTGTTTGCGGAGCAGAAGGTACCGCGCACCCCTCGCCCGCAGCCCTCGGGCGGCAGCCCCTCCCCTTCCCGCCCCGCTAACAACTCCCTTCTCCCCGCAGAAGCGAAAGCTGCTCCCCGAAGCCGTGCTGCAGGAGCTGGCCGCTGCGCCGCCCGCACGGTGAGCGGCGACGTGAGGCGGTGGGTGGGTGCTGGGGTGCCGGTCCATGGTGTGGCCCCGCCGGCTCCTGGCGTTCGGGGTAGGACAGGGTGGAAATGGGGCTTGAGGGGGCTCTGAGGGTGGGCTGGAAGTAACACGTTGCCTTGTCTCCTCCACAGACCCCAGAAGAAGGCTGCGGCAGCTAACCCAGGTATACTAGAGCCTGTCCTACCTTCCTGCACTGCCAGGCACCTTGGAACTTTGTTTTAGTGTTAGAGCTGCAGCAGGAGAAGCGCCTCTTAAGTCTGAAATGTGAAGAGGCTGGACAGGCAGAACGGTGTTGGCAAGCGAAAACGTGGAAAAAAAGTCGTATTTAATCTGATTCCTGCGCTGTTTACAGAAGTTGTTTGCTGTTTCAGTTAAAATAGCCCGTGGTGTTTAGGAGGTAGCAGGCAGGTGTTACAGAAGAAGCAAGTATTACCAGAGGGAGATGAGTATTTAGCATTTAAGTTATAAAGGCTGTTCCTGTATGGAGTTGTTCACATGATAGTTCTTTACATATCATACTATGATTTAACAGCATCTGTAAAAAAAATCGGGTAACTTTTTTTCAACTTCTGATCTAGGAAATCAAACATCTGGAGTATTCCTGTTTTGTTGCCCATGTCCGCTGTTTTGTTGCCCTCTTCACCTGTACTTCAAAATACTTTTAAGTGTTGGGTTGTTTTTAAACAACTCTTTAATGCGTACTCACATAGTTACATAGCTGGGAGCTGCAGCTGCTACTTCTTCTTCCTTTTACTATTGTTTTAAAAAAATCTGTTGGCATAAACAAAAGATGAGCTCAGGATAATGCTCTGAACATTCAGTAGCCACAGTACTTCACTTAATGGTGAGAATGAAGCTGAGGCTGGACTCCCCTTTGTTACTCATAGCTGTTGTGCTGCATTCAGTATTTGTCCTGATGAATCCTGTTTTGTGGTGTTAAGGAAGTTAAGGTATGCCAAGGAAGGGGAAAGCTGGCTGGCAGTACTTTGGGTGGCTCCCCTGAGGTGCGCTGCTTCTCTTCCCTCTCACGGCCCTTCTGTGATGGCTGTGCTTCCTAGCTCTCTGCTCAGAGCTGCTGAAAAATGCCTACTGGATTTATCTAGAGACCTCTTATTTTCTGCAGCCTAATAACAGTTGTTTCATTCCTGTCCCTCTTTCACTTGCTGCTCTTGATTCATAATTAATTGGGAAATTTTCTATTCAATTTACCTTAGGTAAACGCCGTGGAGGTGGGGCTGTGAAGCAGAAACAAGGGCAAGTCCAAAGGCAAGGCCAAGTCAAAAAGCTGGTGAAGAAAGACAAGCAAAGAAAGGGCACCAGGTACACCGGGAGAAGATCCAGGGTGTCTGTCTGTCCCCATCCCCATGTGGCACCTCTGCCTGTGCAGGGGGGTCTCACAGCTCTTGCTCTGTCACTGTATGGCTGTGCTCTCTTCTTCATTTGATGTTTCCCCTGCTCTTCCTCTGAAAGCATGTGCTAAAGCACTTTTAATATACTTCTAATACAGCATGTGTGTAAAAGATGTGTATATATATATATATAATCTAGAATATAAATTTTTACCTATTACATAAGTGGGCAGTCATAAGCACAGCAGCACTAGGCATTGTATTCTGTGCTGCTATAGGTCTGGCTGTTGAGCGCTATATTCCTCTATTTTCCCTTTTTATCTTTGTCACTTTGTCCCTGTAGAGGAATTGCACTGGCTCCCGGGGAGACTGGTTCAAGACTCCCAAGGAACAGTGTGAGGCACATAAAGGCGTATGGTGACAGGTTGAGGGTCTTGGTCTGTTATTTTCTTAATTACAGCTACAAAGCTTGGCTAAGCATCAAGAAACCACTACAGGCAGTGTTGTGCCCAAGTAGCAAAGCCCTGGCTAGTAGTGTGTCTGTTGTCTGGGTTCTGTAGCTACACTGCAGGGATTTACAGCTCTTTTGTTTAACTAGGTCAACAGGAAACTATACAGCTGTGTGCTTAAAAGACCAGAGTTTAACAGGCCTCCAGCAACAGCTGGCCAAAGACTTTATAAATGCTCAGCTCTACGGACCACATGCCAACCGGGCACAGCGTAAGCAGTTTTCCTTCAGTGGGTCTGCATCTGGATTTCTCTAGGCTAAACTTGGTAATTAACAGTCATTTCTGTTTCAGCAAATGATTTTTTTTCCCTTGAAAACAAGAAAAACCCAGTTAAAAAAGCTGCAGTTCAGTTTGTGGACAAAGCATGGGGTGAGTATAAAAAGCCACAGTAGGTACCACTTCTTACATAGGTGGTTTTAAAGTACTCTAAAAAAGCAGAACACTTTTCCCATGTTGGAAGGGTGCTACCTTCTAATAACTCCAAAGAAGCAGATAGCAAGGGAAGGGTAAGAGGTTATTGCAGCCTGACTGGCTAGATGGGCCCTCCTCAAGGAAGGGCATGTTAAGACACGACTTGAAAAAATGACCTGAGTTTTGGTACATTAAGAAACAGTGTATGGGCCTGGAATCATGTTTGCTTGATAAACACTAATTGTTAAAAATCTCTTGAGCTGTTGGAAGTCATTTCAGGTACGTGTAAAACTTAGAAATGCTTCCATGTGAGGATAGGGAATTAGCACCTACTTCGCATAAAAAAAAGTGATGGAGACATGAGTGGGGACAGGCAGGGGACCTCAGTTCCAGCCACACACCACAGCCCATAAGGTTTGTGAGCACTGCAGGCAAAAATTACTGGTCTGTAATAGGCAGCATCTGCATTTACTTGTGTTTCAGAAGTGAAAGCAGTGCTAGACCCTGAAGGAGACTGGTGCCCCTGGCCAGTTGAAAGCAGCTGCTGAATGTAAAATATGATAAAGTTTTATCAGCTTTCCAGTCAGTTCTGTTCTGAACTACTGCAGTAATCACTGGACAGCTGCTTCTCTAGTAAGTGGGCTAAGAAAATGGTTGCCAGCTAACAGCTTTTTATTCTTTTAAGGGCAAGAAAAAAAGCAAAAAGCAGCGAGGTTTAGAAGACGTTGGCTCTCAAGACAGCTTAAACTGTGAGTATGAAGACAGCTTTTTCAGAAGATGCTACCAAGGACTTTTATTGGAAGTTAGCCTCTCAAGCCAACAAAGGTGTTTCTCTTCCTCACTGCTCCATCGTGATTTCACTCTGGAGCTCCAGCCAGGAGCTCCCAGGAGGCACCAACCTTCACAATACAGTGCCTGAACTCACCTTCCTGTTCTCTTCCCTCCCCCTGTCTGAAGGGGAAGCTAAGGAACAGCTGGGCATGTGCAGTGACTCTGCTTCAGACTGATTTACAACAGCAGGAGCTACTACCAGCCTTGGAGAGCTGCCTCCGTGATGCAGTTCCTTTGTAGAGAATAAAAAGGTGAACAAAAAGGTGAACGGTGTTGTACTTACTGCTGTGGATCCTGCATTTCTTACAGCAGTCAATGATTTTTGCTTTTCATCTCTAAGAGAAAGGCTGTTCCCTAGCACCAGAGTCATTAAGCCAGCTCATGTAGCAGGCCACTGCTGTCCAGCCTGATGGTCACACTGAAGGCAGGTTTTTTTGCCCATCTTCAGGGAGCACCAAGTAAGCTCCACTGGTGCCCTGACTCTGTGCTGCTCTCTAAACTTGCTTTATGGCAAGTTATAGCAAGAACACCACAAACCTTTAACTGCCACCAGCCCAGGCAGTGCAGTGCTCCCATGCAGGGAAGGAAGGGGCATCTCCCATTCAAGCAGTGAGACACTTCTCTGAGTAGGCTGACACAGGAAGTGCTGTCCTAGGACAGAACTCTGGAATCAAGAAAACGTAGCATACACCTCCATGCTACCATGTATGTAGAAGTAAGTTTTTAATGGCTGGTTAATTATGGTATCACTACATTTTATTGCAATATAGTACTATTTAAGCACTTTTAAAAATGCAAGGTGTACAAAGATTAAATTAAGACTGTAAATTGACTAAATATTTGGTTTTTATATAAATAGGTCATAACCACACTGTGTTGACATGTAATACTGTTATAATACAACAGTTAAACTGGTGAGTCTACACAACAGAAGCTGTCTGTAATTAAACAAGGAAACAAAGTTGAAAAGACCATGTTAAAACAAAAACAAAAAACCCTACTAAGATCAACAGGCTGGGATTGTAAGTAGCAACAAACATATTCACTCAGCTCCTGAGTAATTCAAGTTTTACAGTACACATTAAAAAATATCATTTCTTCCCATCAACACTATATATCCAAACCATTTGCGTTTTGCAAATTACACTGATTGAACTATGTAACAATGGGGGTGGAGGTTGGCAAGTCATCCTGCTTGACATTTGCATCACCCACATGCTAATACATCTGTCTTTTCCGCCCTTCTGTCCCACCACAAGGTAGCAGGATTTTTGGTTTGTTTTGGACAATCGTGTAAAGGACTGGTACTTGTCAATCTGGATGTCTGACCTTATCAGTGACGTTTTCAACTCTTAGTTGTCTAAGAGGTTTCAAGATGGAAATTTTCTCCTAACACTAAGTTAGAAATCATTTGCATCATGCTGTAAACTAGGAAGCAACATAAAGCAACAGACTTGTCCTTAGTACATAATTAAAATCCCAAACTCCAGTCAGCAGAGCTGGCCTACTTTCCATGTTTAATATGCCATGACACCTTTCAGGTCTTCAAATGCATAGCTAGTGTAGGTAGTCTTCCACTGTGGCGAAGGCGCAGGAGCCAATTCCTGATCGAGCCATCAATCCCAGACACTGTGACGCTTGTCCCATTGCCAGGGCAAGCGGCGGTTGCTTTGGCAGGTTGTGAGTCTCTGGAAAAGAATAACAGCAGCAGTTAAAAAACTGCTATTAATTTCATGGTAATACATTGAAAACTTTGGTTTTAAGCTTGAACTGTTCATACAGAATTCCTCTATTTGCTTTTGCATCAAGACAGAGCAGGAGCAAAAAAGTGACACTTTCAAATTCCCTGCAGAACACCATTATTGAACAGGACAATTTTGCTTTGCACAACAAAGACGACTGCATTTGTTACATTAAGGTCCCCCCAAAAGTACCACAAAATGGTTTGGGTTGGAATGGATCTTAAAGCTCATCCAGTTCCAACCCCTGCCACAGGCAGGGACACCTTCCACTAGACCAGGCTGCTCAAAGCACCATCAAACCTGGCCTTGAATACTGTCAGGGATGGGGCAGCCACAACTTCACTGGGCAACCTGTGCCAGTGCCTCACCACCCTCACAGAGTCTTAATCTGAATCTACCCTCTCTCAGTATAAAAACATTACCCCTTGTCCTATCACTACATGTACTTGTCAAAAGCTCCTCTTCAGATTTGTAGGCCCCCCTCGGGTACTGGAAGGCTGCACCTAAGGTCTCCCTGGAGCTGTCTCCAGGCTGAACAAACCCAACTCCCTCAGCCTGTTTTTACAGGAGAGAAGACAGAGAAAAACTCTTTTACTGAAGGAGCGTACACGACATCACTATGCTTTGTTAATGATTCAGCCAGCCCTCTACCAAGACCAGCAGATGGTGCATGGTGGGCAGCAGTGCTCCCTGTCTCAAATGACAGGCGCTCCATACCATACATACAAGCCACCCGGCTTGTATGTACTCACCTAGTATTGCACTATTAAGTACAGAGCACACAGGTTCTCTTTGTATTGGGTCAAGTTGATTTCCAACAGGGCTGCTCCAAGGATCCGAATACGCAAGTAAACTGAATGCATCCTGTGGAAAGATGATTTTTATTACATCTTGCAGCTATATGTTACTACTGAGCACAAGAACTATTTTCTTCACCCATTCTGATTCAGAATCACAAAGGTGATTGTCAGTGACCTTCATCAGTACAAAAGGATAAAAAGAAATGTAACAGGACTTGTGCCATTTTGAGTAAGCAGTGTTTTTCCCCAACAGAAAGACAACGGGAGTGGTATTTTAGTAAGTGATGGGGGAAAAGAAAACAAACTGAAAACTGCATGCAGTCAGTCTTTGGCAGGGGAATTCTCTTCCAGAGCCATCTTAGATCAAGGTAAACAGATCAGTATCAAAGACAGCACATTCTGGGCATCTGTATCAATCCTCTTTCTCATGGATCATCATTAGAGCTGAAAACAGCACTTTGTTTCACGAGGCCAAGTTAAATGGCCAGAAATGAGACAAAAGTGCTAAATTTATCTCTGGGTTTAACTGTAGCACAGGCATGAAAGTATCTTCCCTGTGAATGCCCTACACAGCCAAGCCAGGAGACAGTGCTGTATCACAGCTGACTAGGACACTGCTCTCAGACCACAACACCAACAAAATGGCAGCAGTTAAAGTAGCACAGTACTGCCATGCCCCATGCTGTGGGAAGTTTCTGCAGGGCAGCACAGTTATTCCACTTAATGCCACAATTTCCAGATTAAATATACCTTGAGCATCTTCTTATTTGCCGTGTTTTTCCCACATTCTCTTCTTAGTTGCTCACTCATGGCTTGCAATTCTCTTCCAAAATGGATCATCCTTTCGATGGCTGCCTGGCTGCCACCACACAGCTGACGTCTCAACTGACTTGAATCTACTTCTGCAAAAATGACAGCGTCATCATCACCCCAATAGAGCTAACAATAACTATCTATGGATCTACAGAACCTGCACTGATTTCACTTGAAAGGCATGTGTCTTCTCGGAGAGAACACCAGGCCAGAGACCTTGGCATAATGTACCCCTGCTCCAAGTACTGCCCAACTGTTCCTCCTATGATCATTAAGAGGCTTACAGTTAACTAAGGGCAAAGGCTGTCTACCTACGCTATTTATTTTGCAATGCTGAATTTTAAACTAACTTGGCCATAAACCAGATTTTACCCTAAAACCTTATGGGAGTTTAAAATTAATGAAGACAACAATAAGCTCTGCTTTTTTAATTCTTTGGCATTGCACTTCTAAAGATACACCAAAGCCAGAACTGATAATAATGCAGAGTAAGATCACCTGAACTCCCAAACAAGATGCTGCTCATACTCCTTGTAGAATGTATCAGTTTAGTAATTTTGACATTTCAGGCTTCTTCTGTAATTAAGCAGAACACTGCAATTGATTTCTTTACTCTTTGCTACAATGTTCCCCAGCACTAGTCATTTTAAAAGATACTAATGCAGTTCATGACCAATAAATCAACCCTTGGCTCCTCCTGAAGTTCTGCCTTTTTTAGATTTACAGCTAAAGCAGTCTGTTAAAAACAGACAAACAAACAAAAGGGGCATTTATCCATTCCTTGCTTTCTGTCATCAGTGGAATCAAGTTCTGAATCAGTTTGATGTACATTGTAATTACCAAACCATTCTTGTTCCCAATTTTAACACTGCTCTCTAGTGATATATTCTAACCACTATTTCAAGAAAGGATTTGTAAGGCCTCTTTTACTTTTTTCTTGGATGTGAGCTTATCACCTCTGGAAAAAACCTGCCTACGTAACACTACATACACAGCACTAAGGAGAATATACAGACATTTCAAACAGAAAAAAAAGCACTGAAACAACCACCAAACTCAAACTGTGGGGAGTAAACAATGTAGGCTGAGGAGCCACATTGCTTTTTTTTTTACAAAGGTGAAGCACCCAGAAATCTTCAAGAAGTGGTGTTTGTTGCTGCTCTCCAAACTAGGACATTACTTTCCACAGGTAGAAGCAACTACATTCAAAAGCCAAGCCAAACCAAACCAAACCAAACCACAAACAACTCTGTGCCCTGTGCAGCCGCTTCACGTCTGTCACAGCAAGCCTCTGTGGAAAAGGCTGCAAGAGAGTGAGAAAGTGGTTTGTTTGTCACAGAAATGAGGCCTTGTTATTAGCCAGTTGCAGAGCATACTGCAGGGAACACAGGCTGGCAATTTGCATCTCCCTCCTCCAGGGCTGTAGCAGAGTTACATTTGCTTCTCAACAGCTTGCTGGTATTTACCAGCAAAGCTGCGTGAGCAGCTGCTTGTCAGAACTGTTCTCGGGGTTCACAGGTGCCTGTGAGCACTGCTGCTTTCTGAAAGTTTACCAGTGATGCCCCAAGTCACACATTTAATTTAAACTACCCATTAATTGATGCCTGTTTAAATCAATTGTTTGAGAAGGCAGTTCTACAACTGCAGAACCAGCTGCACTTCTTCAGATACAGCCAGCAATAACGACCACTCTCTGAGCTCCAGCCTGCTTGCACTGAAGTGATCTGACTGCATGGTAGCCGACAGAGTCACAGTACCTTTTCGTGGTGCGCTGACAATCAGAGGGTATTTAAACTCACTTGTCACTGACTAAACAGGTATGGCTGAGTATAAAGCAGGTTAAGTGAAACAAAGTTATTTTTTAGACCACAACTATGTAAATCAGGATACTTGTTTTCAGCAGAAAAGAGTTTTTTTT